AATTTCTGTGACCAAAAAAAACATGCTGGTTTATTCATCTCTATGCATTCAAGGACTCCCAGTTATTCCTTTGTGTTACATATTTTCTGAAATGTCAGCCTTTACTGGGAAATTACTGTCACATATTGTCAGATTTGTAATTGTTGTCTGTACAATATGACAGCACATAAATATGTTTGCTGTAGTTTATTATGTTAGTGAAGTCAGACTCAAAAACCAGAACTTGTAACCGTTGTAGAACAGCGCCAACTTGGATTTCTCGAGACGGTTGGTCTGTATGTTACTCTAGTAACTGCTCTCTACAAATATAATTTGCGTCATGTTATGGACATAAATTAATGTCTAAAATGTATAAAGTAAAAAGTAATGTACCATTGTCAATCTTTGGGCGCAGAGGTCATATTTTTCCTTTTTTATTTAGACCAATCATCACCTTTTGCATAATGTGATCATCACGACACTGGACGATTTATTTCCTGTAATATTACCTAGCATTCAGTTTCAGCTGGGTCGACTTGAGAGCCCAGGTCATTGACTCCTTCAGCACCAAACAACTCAGTGTGCGTTTCTCTGTTATTTCATAGATAGAATACAGTTCTTGCAACACTCTGTCATAGACATCTGTTACATTAGTCCTGAGTATCTTACTTATTAGTTTAGTTATTTCTTTTCAATGCTGTGTCTGTTGAACATTTTCAGATGTAAGTATATGTTGCCCTTAGGCTCAAATCTTTATGATAGAAGGCTGTGAAAAAATAAGTTATTGGGGCAAAAAAACTAGTGTGAGAACCCGCACAATTGCACACACTTTATACAAAAACATGTTGAAAGAGACTTGTTGTTAGTGCTGTAGTTGGTCTCCGCTTGCCAGGTATTTATGTTTTCAAATTGCCTTCTTTGCGAGCATCTGTGTTCAGTGACAATGATCCTCAAATCGATTCGGGCTAAAATTATGTAACAGAAAATAACCTGAAGAACAAAGATCGTCAGCATGACACTGATTACGTCGTCCATCAGAGGTGAACTGGTCTGAAAAATAAGTTCCCTCTGTGCACGGCTTTTCTTTCTGGCTGCAACTTTCTGGCTGCACCTTTCTGGCTGTAACTTTCTGGCTGCAACTTTCTGATTGCAACTTTCTGGCTGCAATTTTCTGGCTGCACCTTTCTGGCTGTAACTTTCTGGCTGCAACTTTCTGATTGCAATTTTCTGGCTGCACCTTTCTGGCTGCAAATTTGTGGCGGTACATTTCTTTTCCAGCATCATTTTTAACTAGCAGCTTCCGCCTTTTTCATTAACGTTCGTCTTAAGGTTACTTTTGGACGTACTCTCCTCCTTAATCTCTTCATTTTCCACTTTAATGCCTGTTTATATTTTTCTCTGCTATTTGCTTCTCGGGATGTGTCCAGTGTAACGCCATCTTCTTTGTTTTATAACTATCGATGTTAGTGACTGTCCAGACATTTTTCTTTTTTCTTCACTCTTTTTGAATTTGCGGCATTTAATGTTCATCATTTCCCTCAGATACTTGTTTTCGAACGCATTTATCTTTCATTACTTGTCTTAACATGTGTTAACATTAAAATAGCATTAGAATTGGAAATACGTTGCTTGGTTTTACATCTGTACAGTTTAGAGTTCCATCATTTGTGTCAGCACTACTGTAATAAGACACGTTGTAGTAACTACCGGCACCTGTTTAAACACTATTTAGAGAGGATCGGCGCCGTTTATTGTACAGACAAAAAACACTGCCCTTGCGCACTATTGAAAACGCAGCTTTGGGAAGAAAGTGATCTTTTACTTCAATGCGGTTATAAACTTTACTCTGGGGAATTGTAACCATTAATATGAAATTGGGTTATCAGTCGAACGACAGCGCTTGCCTGTCGATTTGCTAGTCGTGTGTTTAAACACCCATCCGAGTGAGTTTTAACAAGGAATTACGGTTCCAGGCCGACTGGGCCTAAAACTGGGTATCAGAAACTGTCAGGGGAAGTAAAGAGGCGTAGCTCTGACTCTATCACTCGATGAGTTCTAACTGGATCAATACCGAACGTTCCATAAGCTTTCAAGTTCAAGTTCTCTCTCTCTTTTTTTTTTTAAACCGACAATGAAGAACGCAGGAGGCGTGACGTTGTCTCAGGTGAGGACGGCAAGACTAGACCAGTTCAAGATAAGGCTTCATTTATTTACATGAACAATTTGGGCAGAAAAAAAACCTCAATGGCTTGTAATGCTTGCAGCAAAGAATCCCAGTAGCTCGGAATTCTTGCAGTAAAAAATCTCAGTGGCACGGAATGCTTAACAGAAAGAGCATACCCGATGTTGGAAGTCAGGACAAAAATTCTGGCATGAATCTAAGGAAATGTTTTACAGAAATAATCTCTACAATATCCAGGAGAGCCAATTAAGGAATACATAACCTATTTGAACCACTAGATAATTACTGGGTTGGTGGGTGGAAGGGATATCGGAGAAGGGTGGGGCGGATTCCTCAAGGTGTTTGAACTCCCAGGTTCTTGCAACTATGCTAGAAGGTTATGCATGGCCAAGAGCCGACTGGTCTATAGAAATGTGAGTAAGCTCCATATGTCACAAACAGTGTTCTTTACCTAATTTACTGTCCAGTGTTCGTGATGCTTCTTGAAGTAAATCGTTACTTAGTTTATTCCCGAAGCTTCCATCTCCAATGCTGCTGTGGCCTTGCCATACCTTTAGAGACCCTAGTCTTCAAGACACTTCGAATCTAAGCAGTAGCCTGCCTATTTTGTCTGTTATCATGTACTGACTGTCTACAGAAGATGTAAGTAAAGTCAGTAAAGGATCTTTTCGCTTTGTGCATAGAATACTATGTTCATATTTGTTATAGACTAACTAACACTGAGTTGGTGATGAGGTCAGTATCGCACCTACCACCTTTTCCTCCCAGGATATTACCTGATGACCATTTTACGCTGGAGAAATTTTGTAGAAACCAAATATTAATTATAAGGATTCTAGACCTTCAGACCCGCAGGCGAGCATCAAACCGCCATGCTACCTTGCCGTCGACTCTCTGAAATGTATGTAGCTATGGAATAATGTTATTCTAATATGATCAAACCTTTAATATTCCTCTGCATTTAAATATTGTGCACATGGTCATCAGATGGCTGTGATTGTGCACTGGATAGAGAAATGTTCTGCCTGTCTGGGAGTGAAGTGTTAGTCTCTGCGCAGACATGGTTTTACTAAGTGTTGAAACCAAGTTGACTCAGAATAAAAGGTGAAATAAAAGTAAAAGACCTTATTCCACGCCTTCAGTCGTATTGGGCATATAAGGCTAAACCTATATTTTATAGACTCATCGGCACTTGTGAGTGATGTGGTCAGCATCACGCCGGCCACCTCTAACTCAAGGGCTGCACCTGGTACCACTCAAAGCTGGGTCAAAATGGGAACCAATTTAATTTTTTTGATCACCTGTCGGCGAGCATGTAGCCGCTGTATCACACTGAATCCCCAAGAATAAAATGGCTGTCAGGAAATGCTGCAGAAAGGCAAAGCCTTTAACCCCCACCAAATCTATCTACACCCAGCAGGACATCACACAGGCGATAAACACCCGATGACACAAAGTGCCACCATGCGGAAAAGGATTGCCGTAGAGAGGTCCCAGAAACTGCCTTTAGCTAATAGACCATATTTATGTTAGGGCTATTTTGCGGCCCCTGGCAACAGCCAGAGTAGGGCTTAAAATAACGAAAAATTGCATCCCATAAAGGGATGACAAGATGATAATCCCCACCAAATGCCAGTTGGTCTATAAATACAGCACTATCGTTAGTCGCTAATTGAGCTTCCAACACCATGGTAGACGGGTCGGCACATCATTGATCCGTTCTTGTGCCAGTGAAAATTATACAAAAAGTCCTTCACTATCCCATTTGAAAACTAGTAAAAAACGTGTCAGTCCCAGCAACATCTTGAAGCATGCACACGCAGACTAAATATTCATAAAGCAGTGGCCCGATGTGCCAACACTAAACTTCCCACACCAGAATGGCAGCTCGGTTTTGGCGTAAACGTTTAGTCAATAAAGCCGACATTAAACCCAACAACATTTACACACAAACTGAAACACAAACATGTTTCATTTACGGGAGAATAATTTTGTAAATTTCAGTTTACTGTATTTTTTATTTTTTTTTTTCTAATCTGCCCTGACCAAGGTGCTAGCCAATTCCAGGGCGTAGCAGTAGGACTTGTTTAACGACTGTATGGTTCTACGGTGGATCTTGGCTGTTGTATTCACTCACTATATTCCAGTCCATGTAATTTCCCAAGCATGGGGAATTTATGGTCGCATGGCAAAAGTAGTCACCAAGACTAAGCTGTTTAGGATTTTACGTTCTGCCCCGACTGAGACCAGTCCACCACCTTACCGAGGATGCAAACCTAGGTCTTCCAGATGTGAGCTCAACTTTTTTAACTGTTTAGCTAGCCGATATGGACCTAACATAAGGAAGCTTTTCCATAAAATTAAAGATTGTCCATGTGAGATCAACCACTTCAATCCATGCGTGTCAACTAATATAATTATGTGGGCCTAGCATCAACTATTCGATCTTTTTAGCGACATTATCTAGTGGTGGGCGCCCGAGCTGTGTGTAGGTAGTGTCACAAATTTATATTTATGCTGCCCTAGCACCTATTATATGATATTGATGACGTCATCGCCCAGTGATGGATGCTCAAGCCGTGTGTGAGTAGTATCACACATCAAATGTACCACTTAGCATGAAAACAGTACATCATTTTATCGCAATCGACATCACTGAACATTTCCATGTGTGCTCAGTCCCCTGATACAGAAGCCACTGTCAGTTACCATGAGGAGTTAAAAACAGTCCTTAACTACACTTTAGCATGTCCACTTGTTTGTATGACTGACATAATTTGTTTGATTCCTGTGGCAGTTAAATCTTCACTTACAGGGAGACGAATGATCCAGTTCATAAATGGAGCTGACCACAATTCTCGTTGCCATTGCGGTTTTTCTGATAGTCTTCGCCTGGTTTCGACGGCCCAATCCTCGCCTTCCGCCATGTCCAAAGTCACCCCTGCCTGTTGTGGGCCATCTCTTCTACATGTCACGTGACGCCCGCCCCCAGTTCAAGGGCTTCAGAAAACGATGTGGCGACATGTACAGGTGAGTGCTTTAGGCAGTCGTGTTGGTTTAGCCCGAAACACATTTTAATAATTCCATAATTCATGTGGGTTTTTTCACAACATCACTCTAGTGGTTAGCATTTGGATAGGTGAGGCCTACGTGGTGGGTGGCTAGTACTCTTGCTGATCGATGAGAACGTAGGAGTATGTATACGTGTGCGTGGGTGTGTACGATTGTGTACAAATGATGTGTATGCATTATTCTACAGTTTATATTTATTTATATATCCATAACATGCATTATTGATAACAGGTATTGGTACTCTGAAAAATGAGTGCTTAGAAGGGCCGAATGTCAGATGGGCCTGCGTGCCCAATTTGTAACCCTTTGAAAATAAAGTTTGTTCGTTCTTGACTTTCATCTTTCTAATCCTTTTAGCCGTGGACTTTGGTAAACTTAGCTGGATCTTGAAGGACGACAAGGCCCAGTATGGCTACAAGAAACTGCTACAGAGCTTAAAGACAATAGTGTGATGTTGACCACATCAACACCTAGTTCCCACATGTTTATAACAATACTGGGGGTTAGAACAACTCGATGTGCCCAAGTTAATTATGTTCAATACTAGGACAACTAACACCACTTGTGGAATATGGAAAAACACCTTTGCATACCAAGGCAAATAAAACAAATGTTCAAAATGTAGGGCAACTCTGTTTTACCAGTATCAAGAATGGACCCTTATGATAACTAATAAGGTGGAAAAAAATACTGAGATGAAATGTCCTAAACGAGCTGCTAAAGCACAAAAGAAGAGATAATAGTGAAGGCATAAGATGATTAGTTATAGTGTAGTTACTAGACAATATGGTCTACTGTGGTTGTAAATTATTGCTGTGTTTGTTATTCGACTTATGCTTCATTTATATAAATTTCTGTTACCTATGGTGCCATTTAAAGGGTCTGAAATAAGTTTTTTCCATAGCGAGGCGCACACGTCGTTTGGGGGAGACAGTTTCAATTTCCGTTAACGTTAACTATAGCTTTTGATTTGTATGTTGTCGAGTGTGTCCTTCTTTCTTTCTACTTCTTTCTAGGAGTGCCGGTCAATACATTATCTCTTTACACATTTCATTAAAAAGAAGCAGATGAGATGATCTGGCTATCTGAAGAGAGTTCCTGATACCAACTGCTACGCTAGAGCAGTAAGATGAATACATAGAAATTGGAAGACAACGCAAAAGATCGAAAGACGATATCAATATCAGCCTCAGAGAAATGAAAATCAACTTATTTAATCTATTAAAAAGAGCTTTCTGAAGAACCATATAATACTCTCCAGCGATTCAGTGAGGTAAATGGTTGTAGAGAGCAACAAGCAGAAGATGCCGCACCATTCGTGTGTCTAAAAGACTTGCTACAGACGTACAACAGTTAACTTGGCAGTTTAGAAGGTGCACCTCTGTCACACTTACAATTATACGTTTTTGGTTGTTGATCTCTGTGTTCCAAATCAAAGAAGAGTCTACACAGTGAGAGCAAGAAATCTAAATTTGTTCTATACCATAAATAAACATTCTTTCACTGTTCTGGAATATGTATTTTGTCAAGGTTCGAAATGTTGACAGAACATGGTTCGATAATATGTCTCTGTTTAACAGAGATGACAATCAGTTGTAACTAAGTCAGGATCCAGCAAAGCACTTATTGCCTGACATCACTAACGCCTTCGATGAAGTAGGGTATTCAGCCTTCAGATACTGTGAACAAGTATAATATGGCTAAAAACCCTCATATGTACTTTCAGAACTGCTCCATACCAAACCCAGTAGTGCAGCAACTAAGATTAAACGGTACACAGAGAGATGGTTTTGAACATGATGTGGGTCAGAAAGTACAGCCTCGTCTCTAAAGATGATCATGACTGGTGCACTCACAAAAACATCAAGGAACAGTACTACAAGACGATCATCACATGTGACAGGTTATACCAGCCTTTCTAGAACCTTACTACATGGCTCTGTAACAGGGAAGAGGAGAAAAGAGACCAAGAAAGACCTGGATACAGAATTCTGTTGAATGGACAGGCATCAAACATGCGAACATGAAGACCATTGTATCTGACCAAAACAGGCAGAGGGAACTAACTAATCAACTGCAACTGGTGACCCAGCGACACGCGAGGTCTACTGTAATGATGATGATAATGATGATGATGGAGCAGGTCGACGATAGTTAAACTTTATACAATATTATTGTATATATCTCATTATTAATAGAGTGCAAGTGAAAGCAAAGAAGAAGTTCGTACCTGTATTTCTAATTTGTTGAAATAAACTATTAATTTAATATGATGATGTAAAATACAAATCTATACAATGTACAACAGGAATAATAATGGGACTGTGCTGTGTTAACCTGTGTTGTAACACCCTAGCTTGTTTGGACTTCAGGCTACTTTGTAACCTTTGTGTCCAATATAATTTTACTGTTGAACGAGATTTGTACACGGGAGTTCTCATCCGAATAGTGACTCCTTAGGTCACCGGGTGATAATCGTTCAGTGTGCGGTCCAAGTGCTTGTTTAACTCAGTGTTAAGCTAACAACTGACTCCTTTGTTCACTGTGCCACAGTCTGTACCTGGGCGACGCGCTGGTTGTGGTACTCAACGGCTATGAGCTCATCAAAGAGGCCCTTGTCAAGAGAGCTGACGTCTTTTCTGACCGGCCGCCATTTTTTATTGATATGGTAGGTGAATACTTAGAAATCATTTTCTCAAAAAGTATTTTTTAAAAACAATAATAAAAGTAGTCAACATATAATAGCAATTTCTGGCGCCATTTTAACTATTGATGTCCCCCCCCCCCCCCAACTCGCTTTTCATACTAATTTTAGCGGGAGCTGCCACAACGTAGTGGCTGTAACCTTGCAAAGTCACACTAATGCTTTTACCAGCAGGCTTTATTTCTCTGATCTCAGGCTAACGAGCTCCGGCTTTCCAGGTGGGATAGGATTCTTCTGGTTAAATACTCCCTTAAAATGTGACACACCTGTGGATCTGTACTCCTTTAAAGTGTGACACATCTGTGGATCTGTACTCGTTTGAAGTGTCACACCTGTTGATCTGTATTCGTTTAAAGTGTGTCACACCTGTGGATCTGTACTCCTTTAAAGTGTATCACACCTGTGGATCTGTACTATTTTAAAATGTGACACACCTGTGGATCTGTACTATTTTAAAATGTGTCACACCTGTGGATCTGTACTATTTTGAAATGTGACTCACCTGTGGATCTGCCCTCCTTTAAAATATGACACACCTGTGGATCTGTACTCCCTTAAAATGTGACACACCTGTAGATCTGTACTCCTTTAAAGTGTGAAAAACCTGTGGATCTGTACTCCTTTAAAGTGTGAGACTCCTTTGGATCTGTGCTGACTGCTCTGGTGATAATTCTCATGAATCACTGATCATTTGAACTTATATCTTGCACAAAGAAACAATTGGAGAAGTAATCAGTGGTCCAATAATTGACACCAAAAAAGAGCACTAATCATGGCAGTATTTTAACTAACAACTGTTAGTGTTACCCGTGTCAAACCTGGACATTAACATCAACAGAAAACCAACAAAATCGAAACAACAGAAGCAAAATATCTACGATAAATCCCAAATGAACTTAAAATAGACAGGATATAAAATAACTTTATCAGGAAACAATTTTGGACGGAAACGGTACTAAAAGAAGCAAGTAAGTATCTTGTACCCCACCAGGGCATCGTACAGAGCGATAAACATCCGGTGACACAAAGTGCCATCATATCGATGAGGATCACGAGTGGAGAGGTCTCGGAAACCCCCTAAACTAGTATGTATATTGGGGCCCCCGGCAAAAGCCTGGGTGGGGTTTCAAAATGACGAAATATTGCGTCCCATTTTGGGACGATGATGAAGTATTTACTCATAAACAACAACAAGAGATAAACAGATCAAATGGTTCGGACATGTGTGAAGACTAACCTCAAATATTGCCCCACATAGAGTCTTATCATTTAGACCTAACGTAAGCAGAGCTTACTCAAGCAAGGGATATCAAGATAAGAGTTTGGAGCCAAACATATGCTGCAGTTTATGTGCAGCAAATACTATACTGTGGTTGACTGGCAAAAGACAAAATTAGTCTGTTGCGCTGCCAGTGATTTGGAGAGAGCCCACTTATCATCTCAACAACTGTTACTTTTGCATGGTCCCCCCAGTTGGGAAAGACATATTAAAGAAGAAGAAGAAGTATTCTCTGGAGTATCCTAACACCTCTTCTGCAATATGTCCGGTACTATATGGCGATGACCCACCAGTACAAAAGGTGCCATAATTATTTTCAACTTCTTCCACTGGTGATCTTGAAACACCAACCTCAAGCAACCCAGATTTGGAGCAAACTACATCCACTAAACCACACGTAATAACCCAAAGTAAACTGAACGATCTCGTAAGTCATCTGAATTTACCGAAGAACAAAGCAGAGCTTTTGAGTTCCATATTGCTACGGTGGAATATTCTGACAGACGATGATACAATGTATGTGTATAGGAACCGGCAGAAGCCGTTTAATATTTTTTTTCCAAAGATGGTGACCTTTCTGCACGCCACAACATGTATGGCCTAATGGCAGCCCTTAAACATCAATTACAAACTGGGAGAGTGGAGGCTTTCCATCGATTCATCCAAGACGCGTCTCAAAGTTGTTTTGCTGAATAATGGTGATGTATTATCATCCATTCCAGGTAGTCGCGCAGTTCACATGAAAGAAACTTATGAAAACATTAGGCAGCTTTTGAAGTGTGTAAACTACAATCATCCTCACTAATCACTTTGTGGCTATTTAAAAGTGGTCGCGCTTTCGCTTGGACTACACGGTGGATATACCAAGTACTGCTGCTTTCTCTGCGAAGATCAGAAGGCATTGGCCAATCAGGTGCCCATTGCAGCTTGGCAGTAAGAACGTCGAAAAGCCAGCACGTGAGAACACCAGCAAGATTTTGTTGCCAGCCTTGCACATTAAGCTTGGTCTAATGAAAAACTTTGTCGAGGTCATTGGGAAAGCAGATGATGCATTCAAATATTTCATCAGAAAATGTCCAAGACTGTGTGAAGCTAGAATTATAGAGGTAGTATATGTTGGTCCGACAATTCGAAAACTTCTTTACGATGAGACGTTTCTTTGCGTGTTGCATGGCAGGAAAAAGCAGCATGGCTAGCATTTAGGTCACTGGTGGACAATCTTCTTGCAAGCAATAAATCTGATATTGACAACGAGGTTGTAGAAAATCTACCTTCAGAAATATGAGAGTCTTGGATAAAACATGTCTTTGAAAATTCATTTTCCTAATTCTCATCTGGACTTCTTAACCTCAAACTGTGAAGCTGTCACTGTTGAGCATGATGAACGATTTCATCGGGACATTGTTGTTATGGAGACAAGGTGTAAAGGCAACTAGATCCTTTCAATGCTTGTTGATTTACTGCTGAACTGCGACAAAAGACATGTCATCGATTGACTACAAGGCGCAAGCAACGAGAGTTAAAACAGCCCATGAATAATGACTGTAAAGTTTCAAATATTTTTTTTTGGAAAACATTATATATGATCTTTAAATATGTTATGTATTGTTTCTATAAGTTTATGTTAAAATGTCTTTTAACTGAATAAACAAAAATAATTTTTTTAAAGCTGAAATAGAAAAACTAATTGTTCACTCCAAGGATGTAAAAAAGCATAATATTTTTTTTTTATTTCTGTAATATAAATTCGTCATTAAAAAAAATGCCAAATGATAAATTTCATTATGATATTTGAAATCAGCTTGTCAAAATCAGTCAGAAATTATGTATTTAAATTCTGGTACAAAAATACTTTTGAGCATTTATCGACCAATGTTATTAACACGTCCACAAATGGTAGAAATACAATTAGCCTCTTCAAAGCGTACAATACTGCCACAATGTATTTTTTTTTCCTTTTAAGGGGAAGTATTCAAATCAATGAATGCTAACAGAAACTAATTATTTCCATATTCTGATTTAAAAAAAAAAAAAATAGATAACGCGTGTGACTAATTGTAACACAATAATGTGAACTGTTTGTTACAGGCAACGGGAATTCCTGGCAAAGGAGTTGTCTTCTCCAATGGGCACACCTGGAAAGAGCAAAGATCTGTCAGTCTGTCCATCCTCAGAGCGTTCGGCATGGGTAAGAATCTCCTAGCGGAGAGGATACAGGAAGAGGCTGGCTTTCTGATGAACCACCTGGCAAGTCACAAAGGGGAGCCCATAGACACGCGGATTATGACCAACATCAGCACGTCTAACGTTATCTGCTCCATTCTGATTGGTCATCGGTTTGAATACCATGATAAGGACTTCCAAGACCTGATGTACAGAATGGGATGTTTAGTTTCCGATCAGCAGATGGTAAGCTTGGTGAATTTCATTCCCTGGTTGAGACACATTCCTGGTGACTTTTTCCAGGCCAAGAGAATCACAGCAAATGTGCAGGCGCTGATGCAGATGTTAAACAAGTTCATCGTGGAGAAGAGAAGACACATTGAGGATTCTAACGAGGTTTGCAATCTAATCGACGCGTATACGATTGAAAAGAACAAGAAAATTCAATCTGGCATGCCGACTTCACTAGACGATGAAAGTTTAATGAAAATCATGTTTGAGTTGTTTATCGCTGGAACAGAGACGACTAGTACCACAATCTATTGGTGTCTTCTGTACATGTTGCATAATCCCAATGTACAGGAGAAAGTGCATCAAGAAATTAAAGAAAAGATCGGGACGAATCGAGCACCAACCATACAAGATAAAACACAGCTGGTCTATCTCAATGCTGTCATCAAGGAGACCCAGAGGCTGGGTAGCATTGTCCCTCTAGGCGTGACCCACATGTGCTCTGAGGAAGTGACACTTAGAGGCTACACACTACCTAAAGGAACGTACATTCTGCCAAGTCTTGACTCTGTCCTGCACGAGAAGGCCACCTGGGGAGAAGATGCCTCGAGTTTCAGACCTGAACGATTTATCGACGGTGATGGAAAGTTGCTTGTCCCTGAGGAATTCATTCCGTTCGGCACGGGTCGACGGGTGTGTCTGGGCGAGGCCATAGCTAAGATGGAACTGTTCCTGTTTCTGGCTCACATGTTCCAGAGATTTGAGTTCCTCCCACCAGCTCCGGGAGAGGTGCCTCCAATCAAGTATGAAGTTGGTGGAGTGTTGGCTCCGAAACCATACAAAATCAGGATTGTTGACAGAAAATAAGCTGCGATGGCTTGGTGCATCAAAGACGTAACCACCCAACCTTTAATTTGACAAAGCATAGGTAACGTAACTATGAGACTACCGCACTACAGATATAAGTCTATGCCCTCGAGGATAAATAAAAAACAAATACAAGAGACTTGATAACATCACTGTGATACTTAGTAATAAATCCACAATGTGAAACTGTCCCTTTTCACACATCTCACGCTGTGGACGGTCATTCTTTATTGTGCACTGCCAATGGTTTCAGAAAACATCGGTCCTCACACACCTCCAAACTAAACTGCCTGAAATAACCCTTTGTATGTCTCCCCATTACCGCTTTGCCGGTACCACTCAATCTGAAAGGTTTTCTTCATCAAGACGTACAACAGAATAAACTACCGCCTTCTCAGTGGCTGCTCGTGTCTCAGATTAGAGTGAAATAAAGGGAAACTGCAGGTCCGCACTGGATATCCACAAGATACAAATGCTCCTTCTTAAAACCAAACAGACGTTCAATAAGAGTCATGCTCAGCATGTTTACCTACATAACGTGCATGCGTTCAGTTTTAAAAGAATGAAAAACTATCACATTTTATTCGAGTAGTATTATATACTAATATGCACTAATATCCGCTACACGACCAAAAGTAAAAACACCACTGAAGATCAATAATGTAATATCAAAACCACACTTATTAGCATCAAGTTTTTCAGGCTAGGGTAAGCGTTAATGTTTTTTCATACTTCGATCTGCTTTGTTGTTGATCAGCTCGCATGATGATATTATCTTCACAGAAATACTGTAATGCAACGACCTAATTAACGCGACCATAGAAGCTGATTTTAATAACAGCCCTGGAAAACAAAACAACGCTTGGGAACCGCTCCTCGAACGTCATCTAGTATCCTTTCCCTCAATCTCCCTCTGCCTCTTGGACCTTGATTTGCCCAGTCGCAAGATGTTCTTCAAGAACTGGTTTCGCAAACATCAGAGTGTGTGTGTTTATCTATTTTCGTAAGATTTTCAAAAAATTATAATTGCTAATTATTTTGCTCTGTTTATACCTTATTACACTTAAAATAGCGCCACGCTATTGACAAATCTGTAGGACAAAAATTGATCCACTTTTGATGCTTAAATTGTATTAAAGGCACACGCCCCAGACACATTTCCCAGTCCGTAACTTGATTCAGAAATAACATTTCCCGTTAGAGGCGACCTGACCGTCCCAAAAACAAACAAAAATTGTACCAGAAATAAAGAAAAAGATTTAAAAAAAAACCGTTATGGCGATGCAATAAGGTGGTAATACTTCTACATTGTCGCAATCCCTTCCTCATTGACACATTCTAATTTCAATGGTCTTATAATAATCAGATTCTAGGTTTTAATTTGTAGAATATTTTTTTTTTCTTATTAGCTCCAGAGTGTTAAATCATTTTGACATGTTACAACTTCATGTCTAGGGTAATCAGGAGCCACGTAAAGATGTCATCAGCGTTTGACCGACTTTTCGGTACAACTCACACATGTCACCCCTTTTCGTTCGGCTGCCTGATTTCGTATGGTTCCCGCGGGATGTCCTATGTTGTAATGTTGTTATGAGATGTCTTCCTCCGCTCTCCTTAGACAGCTTGCCGAAAAGTGGCCGGGTTTCTTTGACAAGGTCGACAGAGTTTTCTAGACGAAACAGTGGAGCTTTCTTTACGCCACTCTTGTGTGTGTGTGTGTGTGTGTGTGCGTGTGTGTGTGTGTGTGAACGACTTCTGTTTTTGGAATGTGTTGTTGCAATCAGGTCTCAGGGGCCGCTGGCGACTCTTTGCAAGGAAGAAGTACTCTAGGGGAAGCGCTGAGGCCGCGACAATTCGTGAGTATCCCCCCCCCCCCCCAAAAAAAAAATGATTAAAAAAAAATAGTTTGATGGTTTTAACAACAGATCCACACCATGGTACAATGCATAACCTATCCGGTTCTACTTCTAACTCAAACCGGAGCCCGAAGAATCACAGCGCGGTGCACGAAGTCCGTTACACTGGCGAGGATCCTGAAATACTTTGGTTAGCCTTTTACCTCCAAATTTATTTTCAACTTCAAATTTTCCCTGGCAGCGCCATAAGGCTACTCTTTCGTATTACCAACTGCCAAACGATTTTTTACGTGCGCATCAATACACACGGGCGTCTGATCTTACTTCCCAAAGACCAGGGGAAATTATCCATTTGAAAAAATTCCAGCCTTCACTGAACCCGGGACCTCTAGCACTCAAGGTGTGCGCTCTGCCTTGAGACCACTCAGCTGCTGTTTTGTTGTTGTTTTTTTGTTTGCTCGTTTGCGGTGGCTGCTGTTGGTGGTGAATGTGCTTATAGCGTTCGAACCAAGCAACAAAGGATACCCCTTGAACATAAGAAACATGGGAACCGCTTTGAAATCACACAGCCGAAAGAGATGAGGGTGAGAAACGTGAGTTGTACCAACTTGTCTTGTGTTGACTGCTTCATATAAATAAAAACGTGTGCACTTGACATATAGTGTTAAAGTTTTATTATAAGTATACAAGAAACCTTGGCATTAACATCATATGTCATACTGCACTGCAAAGAATGGCATCCACATGCGCCTCCTTACCGCATGATCCGCGCAGGCCGAAAATATTTGTGTCAGGTGGAAGGGGTGTATTTCGGTGAGCTGAAGAAGGTCGGTCAGCCCTACAAAAATGTCACAGTAGACAAAGCCTGAACGGATTTAAGCTTTTTTTTTTTTTTTTGAGTTGGCAATAAAAACAATGTGCTTAAAGCAAATGCATATAATAAGGTATTTGACAGAAAATGCAAATTTATAAACAAGAATTTGAGAAGATAACATCTAATCAGCTAGTGAGAATTATTAAGCCTACTTCCAAAGTGTTAGGTGGTTGGAAATTGCTCAGGGGTGGGGGTGGGGGGGGGGGGGGTGCGCGGTTTGGAGATCAGTATCCTAAAATATTAGAGGGGTGCCTCAGTGTGATTGGGGAGCCGTCGTGGTGTAGCGGCTAGACGCTTGACTGCTGATCTGAAGGTATTGGGTTCGGGTCCTGAAGGAGCCGGACTGTTTTCAAAAATGATCTGTGCTCCTAGGTCAGGCCAGCTTTAAATGAATACCAGGTAAAGTCCTGGAGAGTAAGGTCGGTCGGTGTGATCGTTGACCACATCACACACCGAGTGCCGATTGGTCTATATCATATAAGCCGAGCCCTATATGCCCAATAACCTTAAAGGCAGTGGAAAAAGGCAATAAGTTTACTCAGTCATTGAGCTTCCGTGATTCAGCGCCTGGATCGTACTGTGTTGATGGTTAGGAAACAAACTGTCTTTCCTGAATATAGTTCCACATTATAGGCCAGTGTAAGGTCTCTTAAGTTTGAGAATTCAGGGACGCCTTGCTAGTCCAGTCGTACCGAACTGTGCATGCTGGATCATTGTTTGTTTTTATGGAAAGAGGGGGAGGGGGGAGGGGGGGTGTGCTGGGGGTTAATCTTTAGCCCGACAGCAACAGTTTCAATCGCCTTACAGCCCGGGATGGCCACTAATCGACTCATCAACATATTCTCACTATATTGAACTTTTGCAAACCATCCAACATATTCTCATTCTATAGAACTTTGCAAACCATCTAACATATTCTCACTCTATAGAACTTTTGCAAACCAGCTAACATATTCTCACTCTATAGAACTTTGCAAACAATCCAACATTTTCTCACTCTATAGAACTTTTGCAAACAATCCAACATTTTCTCACTCTATAGAACCTTTGCAAACAATCCAACATATTCTCCCCCCATAAAACTTTTACAAACCATCCAACATTTCTGACTCTAATGAACTCTCATTGCCAGCCATCCAGCATTTTCTCGCTCGCGATCTCTATCTCAAATAGATGTTTATAAGTGAAATATTCATTTTTGCTCCCTAACGATTTCTCTCTCTCTCTCTCTCTCTCTCTCTCTCTCTCTCTCTCTCTCTCTCTCTCTCTCTCTCTCTCTCTCTCTCTCTGAATATATATATATATATATATATATATATATTTTGTGTGTGTGTGTGTGTGTCATATAGATAAAACAGTTTATTATCGTCACGTGCAAAGAGAACAAATAGATGCAGTCCTCCTCGGGAGAGATGATGTCGATAAACCGGTCAGATAAATTGTGACAGTCAAAACTGTTATAAAGAGAAAAAAAACTGATAACTGTGGCGACAAATGGCAATCTTGTTGGAGAAAGAACAGGGTTACCAAGTAGCAGTTCTAACCGTGATATTGCAGGAGGCATGTTATAGCGACAAGGCGACGGTTCTACTATACTGCTATAAAAAATAATGTCTGCTTAGACTGTTTAATAAAACCTCGGAAGTGAAACATAACTCTCAGTCATATTGCACAGGTCTAAGATAGAAATCTTCGAAGAGCACAACAGTAAATTACACTACCGTGCCGTATCAGACTTTCCCGACAGGTCGACTTTAACAACTGAAGGCTTTTTTATGGCACGGCATAGTGCTAATCCCTATTTAGTCACATCTTACGACATGCTTCTTGTGGGGAAAAAAAGGAGGAGGAGGAGCAGTGGTTCTATTGTTTTTACCCTACATTAAAACCCTGAAACCCAGTGGTATGATTGTTTCAATCACCTGTTTTTTTTTTTTTTTTTTTAAAGACTTATTAACATGGAATTTTTTACCTAATCTACTACTCTGTTGGAACTGTAACTATCACACTAGCACTGGGCTAACCCCGCTAGGATTTAACGGCTAGACGCTCGCCTGCGGATGTCAATGTCATGGGTTCAAATTCTGACCTAGGCGGACTTTAAAAAATGACCTTGGTTCGCAGGTCGATCCTGTTTTAAATAAATAGGAGGATCTGCCCTGGGAAGCAAAGGCGTCATGCTCTAACATGACAACACTATCAACCACCTCTTGCCGATTGGTCTGTACAAACAAAAAGTCTAGCTATACCCAATACTCACGAAGGCATGA